TTCCAAAATCATTTTCAAATATATCATCAAGCCAAACCGAGGAACGCTCAGTTGCATTTTATTATTTTCCTTCTAACTGACCAAGATCATATTGCATTGTGTCATCTAGAGTATTAGCTATCCCATCCAATTTTAGGTCATCTGCACATTCAATAATGTGTCGAGCTCAATGTTATTTCTGTGTATCAAAAGGCTTCCATGTTTTTCCCCAAACTGCAAGTCAATTCAGCCCCAGGCAACCTGGCTAATAATAAAGGATGGTGGGAACAACATATGTAGAACTAAGATCTCCCTCATCCTCTTCCTATAGAGCTTTTTCACTTCATTGCAGGACACAAGCCAAGTATGAATTTTAACTGCAATACAGAAAATCTAGAATTAAAAAAACAAAAATCATACTGCATTGCATTTTTATCTTTTAATGTTGTAAAATACTTTGAAGGGGGCTTTGTGTCCAAAATGAAATTGAAACAATTTGGACAGATGCAGTGATACACCTGAGCAGTGGTAGGTTCCTCTCCTCATCACTACTGGTATGCTGTGCACGGGGCCGGGTATCCTAGTCATGCATGCGCGCTGCGAAACCCAGCTGCTCGTCGGAGGTCACGCAGGCGCCACATGCTGTGCGTGTGTGCGCAATTGGCCGGTTGTTTTAAAAACAGGTATGGAATGCGGGCAGGCAGGTGGGCCAAATGAGCCACTGTACCAGTACTTCCGGCTACTACCGCTGCTTCCGGCTACTACAGGTATGGCCATACCGACCCGGGGTGGGTTCCGGCTGCTGCTACTGCTGGTTTGCTCAGGGACACGCTACGCGTGTGTGCACGCTTGATGTGCACATGCGCAGCACTAAAAAAACACATGATGGCGGCACCTGTGGCGCCAAGGGGCATGGCAGGCTGAGTTACTACCTACTAGTTCAAACCGGTCCAAACCAGCAGGAAATACCTCTGAACTTCAGATTCCAGATGTTCTTCAAGGGCGGCCTTCTGTAGAAAACATTGCAATAGCCCAACTGAAAGGATGCTAAGGCATGACTGAAAGCAGAATCGCGCAGTCCAACAAAGGGCAATATACAGTACAAAGTTATGCAAGGATTCCCTCCTAGCCACATCCACAATCCATTCCTCTAACACAGAGTCGTTCCTCCACCCCCCTTCGCAGGATTTCAGCTTTTGTCTATGAGGGGATGGCTCTGCATGTGAATTAGAGTGATTTTATCCAATAGATTCCATGCATATTCTCCACAGTGGCCCTGCAAGTAAATAACCCTTCCCTAGAGAGCCTGCATTACCTTGAACAGTGCTTCTGAGTGATTGTGGATGCAATACAGATACTGGCACTTTGCCTCCCTATCCATCACAATGTAGGCTCCAATAGCATCTCTAGCCGATGCTCAGAACTGCTTATTCCTCATAGTCTTCCTGTAGCATTCTTAGCTTCTTTTCAACATCTCTCCCCCTCCCTCTTTCTCCTCAGTAGGCTAAGGAGAATTTAGCATCCACAGAAAAAGAGAGGCTACATAGAAATAATCTAGTCCAAAGTCCCTCCTTCACATTCCAGGTAGCAACTAAGTCCTCATCTAGACAATACAATAGACCTTCAGGAAACCCCACGTTCCGTCTGTAACCTTGCTGGTTCATCAGTCACCCAAGGCAGACCAACCAAGGAAGTCCAAGCTCCCTACAGCATGGGAATAGAAACATGGGAGAGAATTTCAGGGCCAACAAAGACTTCTATCTCCATAACAGAAGGAGTGATGGCAGTCTCCCTCACCTCTGTCCACACTGCCACTGTTCCAACAAGAAAACCAGATTTAGCATATGACTATTGAGTATGTTGAGACATTGATGACTTGGATCAGACTTGTTGTCATGGTGACTACGAAATTCACGAAATTCTGAGCCAACTCTTACTCCACATCCAAGGAAGTTAAAGTTCTAAAGGATCATCAGCCTGGGAAACTCTATCACCAACCTGGCCATAAATATCAAAAATCACTATTGGTAATATTTGTAGATTGCCATAATCATCAAAGTTCTGGACAGTGAACAAAAGAATAAAGAATCATCGAAGTTCTGGACAGTGAACAAAAGAATAAAGAATCATCGAAGTTCTGGACAGTGAACAAGAATAAAACAGAAAAAATCAGACGAATAGAAATGCAATTTTTTCATGCACCTCAAACATAAATGCCAATGATCAATTAGAATCAATGGCACAGTGGAATAAGGTGATTTAAACAGACTTGCAATGGGAAGGCACGTTCCATACTGTGGTATTATCTGTGTTATGATAATAATATATGATACA